GTTCAAAACTGTTCAARCAATTTAGTTTAGAATTGTCATGAATATTTTGCATTGAATCTAGCGTGATTATAATAGTAACAATTTTGTCATGGCCGCCTGAAAGACTTAGACGGCAAAGTTGACTGTTTGACTTAGACAACGACATTGTCTGGTAATGGACTCAGACGTTAAAATGTCTACCTAACTGACTTAGTAAGATGACTTTTCTGACCAACTGTCTGACTTAGACAGAAAGGTGTCTGGTTTTTGGTCAATTTAGATGGCAAAGTGCCTAGCTAACAGTTCGACTTAGACAGAAAAGTAGTTCTTTAACTTATGTACTTAGACAAAAAAGTGTTTGGCTAACTGTGTGATTTTGTTATCTGGCAAGCTGTGCAGTTTTGACGGAAAAATGACTGATTAACTGATTGACMTACAATCCAGTATTATGACAATTCATTGCAGTCTTGTATTGCAGTATGCAGTCACACTGTATTCAGTATTCAATGAGTGCAGTGAGATAATTGGACATTTTGAACATCTTTACTTGTAGAATACTGTAACTATGAGAGCTGCTCCCTGGTATCCAGTACAGAAGTTCAGGTCCACAGCAGGTTAGTGCTGTTATTTGTATCCAAACAAAATRCACTTCASTGAATCYAGAAGTGTTGTCCTAGGGGGTGACTCTCTTAAAGAATGAGACAGCTRGGGGACCTCATTGTAACTTTTATGGTTTGAAAGAGCTTAGTTGGCRGTATAAGGTCAACAGTGACACTGAGTGAATCCTATAAAATCATACAAGCAGATGGMATTTGATYSTAGTGTAAAACTACAAATAAAATTGAGAAACAGAACCAGAATAAAAGGTCATTGATTGGCYCTTGCTRGGATTAAATGTCATCATAACAGTCCCCATCATCTCACAATATAGAAGGTCCCTTTTAGGAGTATAGTTTCAGAAATTCCAACTGGGATGCCCGCCCCCTTTTATAAGGGAGTGTCCTCCAAGATAAGGTTTTTGATCAGTGCTGTTAACTGAGCTAATTTTTTTCCTAGGTATATATGAGCTTTCTTCTGAAACTATTTTGCCTGGAAAGTGTGACCAGTTAGCTCATCGGTGGATGATGGGTCTGGATGCCTGGTGTAAACAAGACCCTCCAGTTGGCATTTGGTTTAGTGAATTAGGACCAAAAAATAGAGGTAAAAGTTAATAATATTGAATAGGTTTTAGTGTCATCATCAATGCAAAGATACTAAGGTGACTTCTTTGCTTTCGCAAGTCAAACTTGAGCTCAGCAGACAATGGTTTTTGAACTGTTTTTTTTTTTAATTTAATAAGTCTACCTTGTTTGGTTATTTGCAGTTCATACATTGAGATCCTATGAGAGCATTGACAAGAGATGTCATATCAATGACAGTGCAATGAAAGATGAAGAAATCAGAGAAACAGGTCAATTAATTGATTTGCTCTTTATTCATCAATTCATTTCTTTTGTCATTTATTTCTTTATTCATTCATTTATTTGTACATTTATTGATTTCCTCATTTTGTTGATTTCCTCATTTTGTTGATTTCCTCATTTTGTTGATTTCCTCATTTTGTTGATTTCTTCATTTGTTGATTTCTTCATTTGTTAATAATTCCTCATTTGTTGATTCCTTCATTTTTTATTTCTTTTTGTCTTTATTTATTCATATATACATTTTTTTAATTTTATTTTTACAGTTCGTGACCTCGCTGAATTTGTAATTGACTCAGATGTGAAAATTCTTACGCCAACAGCATTTTCACCTTGGAAGTGAATACAGCAAAGAATGAATTTTTTTAACAAAATGTTAACTTTGATAGGATAGGAATGACTTTTAAATAAAACTAGATTATGAGTGATTGCTTTTTAAGCAGATTTTTTATTCTCATCCCTTTTTCTCTTTTCCCCATTTCTTRTTTCCCATTGCAAATTTTTCAAAAATATTATATGAAATATTTATTAACATATTTTTGGTTATATTCTGAGARAGTGAAGCGGTTATAAAAATAGAAGCGAGCCACCTTAACACAGGCAAAGTCATGGGTTCCCTGTTTCGACACAGGTATCCCAAGCAACAAGGGACCACTCGTTCCAGTCTTTCTCATTTTTTCCAATGGCTGTTCTCGTGTTTCAAAGATTATTAACACGCCAAAAAACAGCTGTAAAATTGCTTAAAAACCTTAGATCTCTCTCTATCATGAGCTCAAACAAGATCTATGAATTACGTACTTATGATCTAAAGCCTGATAAGTTTGGTAAGTAATGCAAGAGGCGTAGAGTTTGTATTTGTTCATCAGAAGAAATGGAACGTGCACGAGGCTCATTTCTTTGTTGTCGTTTGATGTCTTTGACGGGGTCTTTGATATGATCGATCATTTCATGATTKTTAAACGTTTTTATTTTCTTTATAATGTATACTAGCTTTTTTCTTAGTGTATTATTATATTACATTATATTTTTGAAGTGTTCTTTCACAGATTTAATTGATACATGCACTCTTAATAAGATCAAAAATCCCCTGAGAAAGACTGACTTGTCCTCCCAAGTCTCCACTTGGCCCTCTCCAGTCCCCTTAAGGCCCAYACACAGGCTACCTGACTAAAAAAATAATGTTTCCTTGCAACTGTATTTTTCAGCGGACTATCTCAAATTGATCAAGGAAAAGTTTGACATAAGAACTGCACATTCTAAACTCTGTGGATTCTGGACAACTGATATTGGTGAYAAATTGAATCAAGTTGTTCATTTGTGGGAATATGGTGAGTGCTGTGACTTAATTGGCAGAACGATTTCTGTATTTTTTTCTGCTTCTGTTTCTGTTCAAGTTGAACTGTGAATATTGCATATTAATTACTACTAACAATATTAAGTGATTTTTTGCTATAACAGATAGCTATTGTCATAGAGCAGCTGTGCGTAGTGCACTCACTAAAGATGAGAGATGGAATACAGAATTCATACCATACTCAAAACCCATGATTGTAAAACAGGTACATTTAGTATAGCAAATTATATTATATTAAATAGTTTAATAAGAAAGTATGAAGTCAACATTTTTGGAAAAGATGTTGGTGTATGCAAGTCAATTTAAATCTATGTTAACTGAAATTGTACCTCTTTATTCTTGTTTAGAAAAATGTAATGTTAAGGCCAGCATCATGGTATCCAGTGAGAGATCCTGATGTTACTGGAGGTACAGTATGTTTACTATATCTTCACTTACAGTATGCTCTGTGCCATAGTGTGAATCACCACTAGCATTACTCTTTTCTCATTCCACAGGAATCTATGAACTTAGACGATACACTTTTGATCCATCCAAACGAGATGAGATTGAAAGACTTTGGGCACCAGTCATTCCTCATCGTAACAAGTACAAGGAAGCTATTGGCATTTGGTTTACTGAAGTTGGCACACTGAATGAAAGTAAGTCTCATGCAGTCAAGTGTTGAAAGACTTTTACGGAAATGTTTGAATGTATGACAAGTACTGAACATGATTTAGTATGTAAATGGCGAGAATTTATCTTAGTTTCATTGCAAAAGGTTGAGGTCATGATCTTTTATTACTTGAAATGTAATATTGATGATACATTATTGTAACACCTCTAAAGTCATAGTGGCAGCTCACAGTCAGTCACTGGTGAGCTCTTGAGTCCATGGTCTTAATAAGACCTGAAACTCTAAAAGGAGAGAGGAATTCAATGCTATGGATGACTTTCTAAACCACTGTTCGTCTTGATTGTGTATAATGAAAAAAAATTAATATTGAAATTTTCCTTTTAAACATAATTAGTATACTCCTTGTGGTCTTACAAAGATGGTGATGAACGAAGTCAGGCCAGGAAAACTGCCTTTGAAGATGAAGTATTGAAAAAAGCATGTAAGTTTTTGATTTAAAAATCAAACTAATTATTCTGCTAAAAAGTGTACCATGATGCCTTGCCTCATTTCTTTATTGTATCGAATGTCTGTGTCATCTTATGGTAACAATGTGTTTGCACTGACAAGAGACAATCATTGAGACTGCAAACCTTTCACACACATATCTAGACAATTATGTCAGGTTTCTATCATATTGCAATCCCACCAGTTTTCTCAGTTCAATGCAAAAAAAAAAAAAAAAAACAGTTCCCTTTCAAGATGGCACAGGAAACTCTGAATGAGTCTCATATCTGTTTTTATTACTAGTGCATACAGTGGATGTCCACTTTACAATGACCAAAAATTCGCTTCTCCATCCAACAACCATTTCTCCATGGAATTAAGTAAACAGCCTAGAGAAAGTCGCAGTTAAAGTGTGGGAGAAGTTTGAAAATATTTAATATACTTTTCCAATTAACAGGCAAACTATATAACAAGGTATATTACAGCTAAATAATGTGTGTGGTTTTGAACACTATCACTCATAAGGGTTGTATCAGTGGTCCAAAAAACCGACATCAATCTATGACTTTATTCATCACTGACTGCAGAACTGGTTTCTTTTTAAAGTAATATACTGCAGAATAATCACAAGTTTGCAAGCTGTATTTACCCCCTAGTATATGTTAAAGCCTAATACCATCTAACACACTGTAATAATTGAATAGTGGTAGCTCTATGTCTAAATAGGAACAATAAATTAATTAATTCTTTTRGAAAATAAAGATCATATCTTTTACCAACCCTCTTTGTATTTCTTATTCATTTAATAATATAACTATTATTAGATGTAGAATATACACCAGACAACGCTAAGTTGGCTTGCAATGGTAAGTGATGTGACAATACTTTCCTTTTTTTAATTCCCACTTCACATTCATGYATGCACTTTTTCTATCATCATTATTTTACTTTGTGCTGCTATAGTTTTTAAMAGRCRTTTGGGGAAGGTCTTTAGGTCATATGAAAAAGCCTCATATTCTGTTTCAAAGAGCTTTATTTTCAAAAAATCAACACAATTTTTKAACTGTTTTCTATATAATTTTCAACTAGGCATGCAACCCCTTTTATATACCCTGYGAGTAGAGGATTATTTTTTATACAAATCTCTGTTCACAGGATACATACCAGACTGCACCATGGATTACCAGCCAATCAGAAATTAGTAAAACCATACTAACCAATCAAATTACAGAGCTCCTATGTTTATTATAATCTTGAAATATAAGCTGCAATATGATTGGGTACTTATCAAATTGTTCTGAAGTGGTTTCAGTGTCCTCAATGTCAAAGTACACTGTAGACTCCTATGCAAGTATTTCTGGTGTCATCGACCTGCATTTTTCACTCAGGAATGGATGCCAAGGAGACTAGAGCTGGGTTGTTCAAAGCTAGTTTTCTATAGTAAGGACTTCTCAGGAAAATATACAATCATGCAAGATGTGAATTGTCAAAAAACTACTGATTTTCATTGGACTGTGAAACAATTCCTAAAAGTCAATGTTTACTAGTTTCTAATAGTCTCCTTCACGGCTCCCTGTGCCATCAAAGGTTTCGAGCCTTTACATTAAAGTGAAATAACCATTGAGCATGCAATAAAAGAAACCTGTTAATAATTGTCATTTAGGTGTGAAAGGTTCCTATCATTGCACGCTCAACATCTGTCTCGCTTTGATGCAAAGGCATGGTTACGTTTCAAGATGTCACAGGGAACTATTGGAGACTATTGTCATATTCCAACAAAGAAAAGTGTCCTTAGCTATTACATTAGCACACTAATAGTAACAATTTGACAGTCCAATGAAAATCTCTATCTATTTTTTGTGTAATAAAATTGTATTTCTTTTACTAATCTTAGGTCCAATGCCCATCATTCCTTGATGGAGCACTTCACAGTGTTTGCCACAAAAGCACATCCAGTTGAGTACATCCACAACCAAATTGAAGAAGACCATCAACCATTTTTTCGGAATAATATAAAGTTCCTTTCCCTGGATTTGTAGTTCTTTTAAAACACAGACATCCATGACCAAATTAAATAAGACTGTCAACCATTTTTTTTTGGAATAATACTAAGTTCTTTTCCCTGGATTTGTAGTTCTTTTAACACAGACAGCTTTGGCAACATCAGCAACTTGGAAGTTATAGTGGAGCAGAATGTCTTCAGAAAAATAATTATTGTACTTTGTACCTTGTAATTATTATTATTTGTATATTGATAGATTTTAATTCAGATGCAATCACTTAAAAAGTCCACAACTTCTGTTAACTCTCTGTTTTTGGCCTCTTTATGAGCCCATCTGTCTTCAGCAAGTTTAGGAGTTACATTCCAGCGATCATGGTATATTCTTTTACCGCATCCTGGTCCTGTACACTTTTTACCACCTGTGTAAAATTAAACAACAAGATTTTATTGATAATAAAGAATTTACTCTTTTTACATCTGATTGTTTTTTGAACCATTCCTTTCCGCTTCCTTTTTCTCATTTTTTTAAAAAAATTAAAATTAAAATAAAAAAAAATTCCTTTTCTATTTCTCTTCTGTTTTCTTTTTTTTTTTGAATTACCTGTAAAAGGAGGTGTTTTCATATATTTATCCAAGCAACTATAGTGAAATAAGTGGGTACAGTAAATTCTCTCAACAAACAATGGATTCTTGGGGTCTGTGATACAATCCTGAAAATAAAAGACACAGGAAAAAAAAACTCTTAAAAACAATATTCAAAGCAATGGGAATTACTCCAMCCTTTATTACCCGTATGCAACATTTACCCATGAACAAATAGACWATCTCCTTCACGTTTCCCTGCACCATCTTAAAATGTAGCTGTGCCTTTGCATAGAAGTGAGACAACCGTTGAGCGTGCAATGATAGAAACCTTCTTTCACACCTACAGGCAATTATTCACAGGTATCTATCATTGCACGCTCAATGGTTGCCTCACTTCCATGTAAAGTTGGGCTACCTATCAAGATGTTGCAGGTAACCGTGAAGGAGWCTATTGGTTTCCATTTATTTGCACTTGCTGGTGTCAAAAAAGCGATAACTTACATGTACTACAATGACAAAAACAAGCAAACAAAACAACAACACAAACTTTCTAGTGTTTACCTTTGGATTTGATGGAAGTGCTTTTTTCTTACARAGTGTACAATCTTCTGTGGGATAACGTCTTCCACAGTCCTTGATTAGGAACTCRCTGACCAATTTTAGTGAAGGTTTGGGYTGGAAAGGTGGAGCCCTGCAAGAAAACGATACATATGATGTTAAATGTGTTATGCATTATTTAAAGAACAATTAACAATAGTCAGAGTGGAAGRAAACAAATGTATAATAGAAAGTCAAAAGAGCACAAAATAAAACAATATGAGACCATAGTGTAAAAATCAATGGATGCATGGGCAATAAATTCCATGATAATATATTTTGTTCTTAGATGCTGTATTGCATGAATCAATCAATAATTAATCAATTAATTATTAATCAGTAATAAAATAATTATTAATTATGGTATTTGAATGGAATTGTGTTTATGTGTTTATTGTGTTTTTTAGGATCTTACTTGGGATTTTTCYTGACTGGAGCTTGTACACACTGTCTTGCCATATCTACTGCTTGCCCCATGAATACTTTAACCAGGGAAGTAGGGAAATTGGACTCTTTGAGTTCTATGCTGAATGGCAATAAACAATGAATCATTTGAAACCTAATTTCCCTAAGAGTATAGACCGCGACTCCATCAAATGAGCACCTACCTGACAGCTTCGTCTGGATAGTTGTCAGGGATTGTAAGTCGAACATCCATAAAATAACTACAAGAAATCATTGCCACACATTAAGAAATTTTGTAAGCCATTTAGTTAAAGTTTTAAGGTGATTCTGATAGTGTATTCATCAAATTCACGATATATAAAGGTTTTAAGGTGATTCTGATAGTAGTATTCATCAAATTCACAAATACATACTTGTTTTCATTAATAGAGATATTAATAATGCCAGCTTTTTGCTTGATCTTTAACTGATCCCTTTCTGTTATTAACTTATCTTTGATGTAACTCAATTCTTCACTACATACAATTAACGGATTTTCATCAAGGAATTTACGAACAAATGACACCAAGAGATAAATCTGAATAAAAAAATTATTATTTCAATAAAGTACATTGTATAATAATGCTAATTTATACTTGTATTATATCTTTAAGAGAGTCATAAACAATAAAATGTTGTGGTCATTGCTAGTAGGAACATACCTGTTGTTTTCCAGCATGTTGTTTCATTTCTTGGTCACAAGTGTCCATTAGTTTGCTAAGTAATTTCGGAGGGAGAACACTGCTTTTAAGTTCAATCAAAATTATATCATTGGGGTAGTTAGCTGGGAATTGCATCTTCACAGTCACATGCTTGTGCTTGGTCCGYCTGGAAGTTAAATGAGTAATATTTGGTTCAATTATACATGTACCAGTACAATATCAATGCACAATCCCCCCCCCCCCCCCCCTGTTTCGCATAAAACTACAGTTCAATGACGGATGGACCTATGAATTTCATAGTACTGGTTCGGTACTACTGTGGCAGTGACCTTTTCAATAATGTCAGCTGTGGTTATAAATACGTGATCAATGATCTCTCTAACTGTTTTGTAAATACAATCTTTGTRTAATTATTGAACGCGTTTTTATAACTATAAGAACTTAATTACATGAAAATTATTAAACAGTTAAGCTTAAATAATTTGTTTACAACAAACTTCGATCAATCGTTCTGACAACAGAGAAAACACTTTTATAAATAAAGACAAGATTTTAATCAAKGAAGCTTCACACCATAAAACCATGTAAAATTTATTATATTTACTCTTCGATATAATAAMAATTACATTAAACACCTGACTAAAAAGAATCAATCTTCAAATCGACACCTATTAAAGGACTTCAAAAATAACACAATATTTTTCGAGTGTCCACAATATTTTTTAAAAATTAATATATATCCACTTACTTTAAACGAACTTGAACGTTTAAAATATGAAGAGAAATAATTTCYACTCCTTCTACATTCTCTAGAATCTTTGTCTTTACTTCCAGKAGTTCTTTTTCGATAAATTTTTGGGTTTCATCATTGAACATGGTCGCCATCTTTTTTTCCTACCGGCCTGAGCCCGCAGTGCTGGCCAGCGCCCAACTATTTCTCCCAGCATCCCTTGGGGACCTAACAGAAAAGAAAAATGGATGAATGAAAACAACGAGAGAAAATTGAGAAAATTGAACAAAATAAATGAGCAAGCTTAAAGATTTTGTCTAGACTAAGCACTGTGCTTGACGCGCARCAGGCTTTGAAAACCACAAACACAGACGCTAATAAACTCTGGAATAGCAACAGTGTTGCGCGACAAGTTGAGRTGTTTTGTCTCGTGTTTCTCCGCTTGAAGCGCCCTTCATTTCCATAAATTAATTAAAAAAAGRGAAATAGGAACAATATAGTAAATTCATAAAACRGTAAAATTGGATGGATGATTGATCCGTAGTAGCTGAAAAGAAAAGTGGAAGATGTCGAAGATGAACTAATTGAACAAAAGACTAAATAACGGAATGAAATGAAATGAATGAACGAAAAAAAAAGACTCTTGAGGAATAAACGAGATATCTTGTTCTTTCTTTCTTTCTTCCCTTCTTTTTCTTTCTCTGTCTCTTTATTATATCTTTTCTTTCGTTTTTGAAATGTGATAAAATATCAGTGATCAAGCAGAAATATAAGCAACGTAGTACTGTACTGGACATTAAAATGCAATATGCCCTATGATAGGGACATTCAACATTGATGAGATTTCTGTGCGTTCATTGGTACAGATCTCTTYCATAATTCACAAACTACAAACGAAAAACATTAAAAGCTTTGCTTTTGAAACATAGTGGCAAAGATTGAAATCGCATTCCGTGCGTTCACTACACTAAAATCCGAGCCAAACGATATCCGCCATAATAAGCGTCACAAACAGCATTTGAATGGCTTTCTACCGATAATAACTCAAAGAGCTTTTTATGGCACTTAAATGGCTTCCCAAAGCATGATCGGATGTGAATAAAGACAAATATTAAATGGACAGTCAATAAAAGAGATTTTTAAGGATCATTTGGACTCATCTGGTTCTCAAGAGTGTGACAAAAGCTTGTTCTTTTAAAAGATATTGGAAGTGAAAGAAAACAGTTAAAAATTAGCGCTGGATTTTTGTTATACACAGGGAGCCCATAATGAGCTGGATCATAAATTGGATGACAAATAATGGGATTAGTTGGTATCACAAATCACATCATCGAGGGATCACTAGCCACTGAGAGGTTTACAAATCACGTGATCGAGGATGGCAAACCATGGAATCAGGAATCACAACTTGGGATCGTTTATCACAGATCATATGATGAGGGATCAATAACAGTTGAGATTTACAAATCATGGAATCGGGGATCACAGCCCAATGACCAGCAACGTTTACCGCAGATAAAAACACTTAATAAAATCTCGTATGTGCGAAGTGTCAGTTAAAGCTCATTGTTTTCGAGGTGTGTGAATTATCTCACTTTAATAGATGCAGCAACAACTGCCCCTGAGGAATTACATTTTCAGCTAATACAGTCAACTCTCTCGTAAGCGACCACCTCGGGATCAGGAAAAAGTGGTCGCTTACGAGAGATGGTCGCTTACGAGAAAGTTTTTTACAGAGTTTATATGGGAAACTGAACAAAACGGGAAATTTAAAATGTGGTCTCTTACGGGAGATGGTCGCTTACTAAGAGAGGTCGTTCAAAGAGAGTTACTGTAACTGTAATTCAAAAACCATCTGTTTAAAAGTTTGTATCAAAAAAAGGGAGTGTGTCTTTCTATATCGCGTTAAAATAGATACAATCAGTGTACTCCTCCTGCATAAAACAGTCCTTCATCGCGTTCGATTTCACTGACCTCACGATATTAAGGGTGCGCAATTTTCAATGATTTAATCCCCGAGTTCAGACATATGGTGCAATTTTCTCTTATGCAAACTAATGAGCAAGCAAAGCGTTAGTAGCTTCGATTCAAATGAGGGATGAGTAACGTTAATTGTTACGTTTATACAGCAGTTTTGTGTGACATGAGAAAAGACTAATAGCCTTGCTGAAACCGCCAAAGGGCACAAACTCAATAGGGTAGGGAAAAACAACAAAGAGACCAATACAGTCCCCGGGGGGGAGGACTGGTATATTACATCTGTTTCAAAGAATATGCACACAAAACGGTCGCCTTTGGGCCATTTAAAGCCAACACATGCTCCACCGCAGGGATCCCAACATCCACCTGTTAAGTAATCCATTGGTGTCAGCGGGATACCACAGCATAATTACATGGGGAACAGATTTTTTTTTAGTATAACACTGAATGAGATTCATCAGAAGGTTCAAGTTCGAACCATAACTAATATGGCTGTACAAAGTCATGACACGCCATCTTTAAACTATATTTTGAGTAAAAAGTATAMGTTATTTTCAACGAAAAGTTACTTAAATTCCTTAAAACAAATTGTCATACATGGTTTTACTCTCTTAAAAATTATCCATATTTTTTGAAAAAGGATGATTTTCAATAGTACAAGACGGATATCATTCATATCCACGAAACGGCTGGACATATGGAAACGGTGTCTCTTTAAAACTTAGGACCATAGCTAAAGGATCATACTTCCCCATTCAAAAAGGCGGCATGCGCGCAAGAAGTCCTTTTGTGTGAGTTTTAATTAAGATTACTATCATGTACGCAGAAAAGAGTAAATCAATAATAGATTCGAAATAACCATAACCCGTCTGTCAACTGAMATGAAAGTGAAATAGTTATAAAATATTAACATTAATATTAAACTTTAATTTATTTACAGCACTAGTGCATCACGTAAACTATTTCGGTCGCAGCTTCTATGATCTACGGAAGACTARCGTCAGATGTAGTGATGCACTAGTGTGAGCTGCGTCGGTGTTACAACGTAGCTGCGTCGGCGTTATATCGGAGCTGCGTCGGTGTTACATCGAAGTTGTCGTTATTAGATCGGAGTTGTGTCTGCATTTCTAACGAAACAGCTGTGGTGAAATGGTAAACCATACCCAGTAGTATAAAAATAAAAAACGTACGGACGTCGATCCAGCTTCGTTTGAGTAAAAGATCTATACATAATCTTAGATCTACAAGCGTTACGTCTCTAGAGCTTCGCGTAAATATTTACGCAAGGATTTCCCAAATAGATTTTGTCAATAAAATCTAATACAATCTATTATTGAATCAGTCATTATTCTACTGAACGCTAAGCTATAATTACGCAATAAAATGCGATGAAAAGWATCAATAGCRACACCRGTTAGTGTCGCGTGCCATCACATCTGTTCCCKACTCGCATTTAATCTCTATGTAGCTACCTGTTGTCGTCATTGTTTCAATAAAACAACGCAATACCTGCTTGTTCGCGATCATRTTCAATTAACGTATTATCAAGCTTAAAAAACAACAAAACAGAGTATTACTAAGTTCATGTTACATATTGATACGCTAAAGCAAATAACGTAGTACCTGCTTGTTCGCGATCATGTTCTCTTAGTGTRCWAAAGAACTCRAAAACARCTCGAAACATAGKGTTACCGAGTGCGAGYTACTTTGATCCGTTAARACAAATRACATAGTACCTGCTTGTWCGCGATCATGYTCATTTAGTGTACTAAAGAACTCAAAAACAACTCGAAACCGAGTGTTACCAAGTGCGTGTTACTTTGAARCTTTAAAACAAAGAAATCCCCTTCATACCCGAGATTCGTCGCACTCGAGGTCAATTAAGTTTTCATTAACCTCGAAAACAATAAAACAACACGAAACAAAGTGTTACTAAGGGCATGTCACATATTGATCCAACTGAAYAAAGAAAATCGCCTTTYGTCSCTCWGATTTGCCGCACTCGAGGTCARTTAAGATAACATTGACCTTAGCAATGAATATCGGCAGGCATGGAATAGATAGAGAATGTTYAAGGGCGTGTCCAGGGGATGATTAGAGAAGCTAGCCACTCACTTTTGATGGTTTAAAAATATAGARATATAAAAAGAATGAACATGAATAGGACTCATTTTGAAAAACATCTAAATCAGCGTTCTTATGGAGGAAAAAAATCATTTTCTTCAATCGTAAATCTATTTTTCAATATTTTTTCTTGAGTTTATCACCATCCTTTATAACGTTCGGGATCCTTCACGGAAATCAATACCTGTATTATTTTTTCTTAAAGGTCAAGGACAMTCAATACAACACAAAATATTCCCGCTAAAACGTGAATAATCACGGAGAACAAGTTTCAAATATTACAGTACATTGTGAATAATCAAAAGAGAAGACAGTTAAAATTTAGCGGTAATTGAGCCTACGAAATGCTGGACTTCTCAAAAAGTCAATTATGACAGTCTGTGGGTGTGGTGTTTTTGAATGGTTGCGATTTGTGGTACGTAATATAAACTTTCATGCTGTTTTCCTCTCCCCCACTTCCCTTCAAAATGAATAAGAAACACTTCTAAACAAATTTAGGGGTTTCCTCTCTTCAGATCATAGCAGCTGATGCTGAATACATCAAATTGAAGAAACGTTGTCACATTGAAAAAGTAGATCATAGATTATAAATCATGGAGGCTGATGCTGTATACATCAAATTGAAGAAACGTTGTCACTTTGAAAATGTAGATCATAGATTACAGACCATAGAGGCTGAGGCTGAGTACATCAAATTGAAGAAACGTTGTCACATTGAAAAGGTACAAAGACTACAAATCACAGAGACTGAGGCTGAATATCAAATTGAAGAAACGTTGTCAACGGCACTGAAAAATCAGGGACTATTATGTATACTATTAAAGAATGACTAAGAAAACAGTCTCTTCAAGAGGATTTCAAAGCTGAATCGAATGATATTCAACAGCGGTAATGCATTGTAAAAAGAAAGTACTTTTTGAAAGAAAGTGCTTAGGTATGTCTTAACTGCTAATCTCTCTGCATGGCAGACATCATCGCACTGAAAAGCACTCATAAAGAGCTCTCAATGCTGCATTGTAAGCTCACTGTACAGTTAGACAGAGCTCAGGAAATGTGACTATGGTAAATCAGCACTAGAGTTAGGTACTCCAGGCACTCAATGTAGGGGTCATAGGGACTATTGTAGACGGTAATTGGTCAAAGCCGGTATATAACGAGGGCGGATCGTCGTCTATTAAGACTAGTTCAAATAGACACTCATCGTTCTAAGGACCAATAGAATACGAACAAAGCAAGTAATTAAGACCTCTATTAGAGCACAAAGTGTGGCTTGTGTCCATTCTTAAGAACAATGGACGTTTCCTTTAGGTTTTAGGTTGTAGTAAATGCTTTATTACATACCAAACAGAATACCAACAACGCATGTAAAAGATAGTCCAAAATAATCTTAAAATCAACGCCATTTCATTAATAAATATTAACACGGAAAAAAGGAAGCTAATGTAGATCCACTCAGAATTTATCTGGTGCTCTCTTTCATAGGACTTCACGTTGCTTAAGCCAGCAGGTGTAACTTCCCAGCTTAATACGCATGCGCGTACAACGACTCGTTCCGTCGATAAATAATAGAACGCAAGCGTCAATACGAATTTTTTTGGCAGATGGTTGGAACAATTATAGAGGCCTTAAGAAACACACACAYAGAAAAATACACCAAGTTCATGCGTATTCTAAGATGTATTCTGTGATAGAGTGTCGTGTTGTGACGGGAGGTTGATATATTTTTAAGTACAAAGTGGTCTTGGTTTAGWATGTCTTATCTTGAAACACGACTCATTTTTAATCATCTACTCAATGTAAGTCCCTTACCAGATAAAGAACCAAACCACAACACRTAGAATCTGATCGCGAAAGTATTAGTGTAGCTGTGAAACGACCGATAAACCCTTGGCCCCTGTGAAACATCTTTTTGATATAGAGCCGGTGCGGTGGATTTTGACGGATGTGTGAATAAAATTAAATAAAGATCACATTAATTTTAAAGCCAAACAAGCGACTGTTGAATTAGACAAGAACCGAAACAACACTTGTGTGATCTGGCACACGTCGTACTCTTGTTCAAATCCTTTTCTTTGGCCGGAGTTTGCTAAAGTTATTGGGTATTATGATCAAAACTATTATTTCTCTAAGCCATGAACAAAGAGAAATGTGAGAGGATAATTTTCCTTTCCTTCTACAAAAATACAAGTATGGAAACTTTAATTTACAGTTGAATAAAATCTTTTAGGGAAAACGTAATGTTTTTCATGCAATGCTGAATGTGAATGCAATTCACAAGAGAATAAGCAATGATTTCCCCTCCTATAGAAGTCCACAAGCAACTCTCATTCATAAGGACAATAGCATATTGTGTAACATAAACCAATGARCACTGAGCATCMCCCCAAGGCCTGGTCTAGCATTAGCACTTTTGAGTTATCACCAGTATATATAGCAGTCTATGTAAGACGCTACCAAATCATAGATCAAACAGCAGCACAGTTTAAGGGTCTCGACTTGTACAACTATATCACAATGAGTATAAAAGAAATAGAGAAAAGTTCAGCGTTTACTATCCCAACAGCGACAGCAATTCGCTTTCCTGTGAATGGCGAGGAAAATCCCGATGGAGTCCATTCAACTAGTAAATTTCCAATTCTATCACCTGTTATAACTCAGACTAGAAGACGTAGGGCAGTAAGTACGGCAAAGCAGAAAGAGCCTGCAGTTGTAGCGAGACGAAACGCTCGCGAAAGAAAGCGAGTGAAGCTTGTCAACGATGGGTTTGTACGCCTTAGGAAGCACGTCCCGACGGACCCGAAGAATAAAAAACTATCCAAAGTAAAAACGCTCCGAAGCGCCATCGATTATATCCGTCATCTTCAACATCTGCTTAGTCAAGCGAATAAACACCAGCTACATACTGAATCTGACTTGGATCCAGCTGCTACAAGCTCAACGATTGAGTGGATCGCTACTGACCTCGTAAGTACATTCTCTTATTTCCCGCCAAACTTACACCGAAGACGCGACGCGTCCCCCMAAAAAATACCATCTTAAATTCATTCAAAACTACTATCTATACTATCCATTCTTAAAAATACTATGTGCTATGATGATCCTACGCTTAAATAGTAGTAGTTTTAGTATATTATATTTTGAAATGATGTTGGCATCAATGCTTCGCCGCGTCTCGGTATGTCTAGCCCTTCGATTTAAAACGACCCTAGCGTCCATAGCTGTAGTGTTTAGATCGAGACGATTCGGTACTTTTAAGTACAGTTATATTCTTCCGCTTATAGGAGTTACGCCATTTGTCTCAAGGTTTTCAAGCGTTCTATTTTTAAAAGTTATGTTTTTAGATAGTTTCGTTTGACGTTCGGCGTTCCTAAGCATTCCGTCATTCGCTTCTAAGACTTTGAAATAGTACGTCTCTTTTGACTATCTCTAGGCATGTTAAGGTACGGACGTTGTACGTCTATAGTCATATCATGTTAATCGTGCAATATTCTATGTTTTTTCTTTAAGAATGCGCCGAAATAAAGACAGTATTTTATGTTATTTTTTCCGTGTTAAAAAACGCATGTTACGAATGTGCGCGCAAAATAAACACAACTTAAACCTGAAAATAGAGAAAAAAGTACGGAGACGGAAATGTGGATATCAAACGACAAGAATTTTATTAAAATCTATAGGCTGGCTCGCTTTAAGCGCAAACACAATATTGCCTGCACAATTAGTCAACCGACGAAATGTCAGATTAACTAATTCGCTTGAATTGTGGACGTCAATTTGAATATTCTTTATCCCTTTTCCGGTGAAAATGAACTCAACTGTTATTGAAAATTACCGAACGCTACGTTGATTCTGTTTAAGATACAAAAATCCCATCACTAATGCATTATTGGTGGTCTTTATTGCAGAAACGAGAAGATGAATTTAAAGAAGAATACAAACCTATATTTACTTTCACGACACAACCAAGACCTAGAAGTCCAGAGCCAACGAATGGCTACTGAAAATACACTTTTTTGGTAAAGAAATTGTAAACCAGACATTTCAAATGCAGGCTTTAGGAAGAGCTACAAGGACTAAAATGAAGACAACCAAGCTCACAAGTCGAGTTCGTCACTGATAATGAATGCTCAGCGTCGAGACAAAGAAAGAGATATATACGCCCTGATTAAAAGAGAGAAATCCTCAAACAGAGCTAACAGTCCGCCGAGAGATATATTTATACATAAAATCCAAATCAAAAATCCCAATCAATTTATCGGGAAAACGAATAATTATATATATGTAATATACATAGGACAAAACAGAAGAAAATATAATTTATACGAAGTGTTATGTAGATAGAGTTACGTTTTCAACAAATATTGAACATGATCTCAATAAATTGTATAGAAGGTTCTTATTTGAAACACGATTCTTTTGAAGAAATTTGCTGTTTAGACGTTGTCAAAAACTGCCTTTTGAAATCAACTCATGTATTCTTAGGCAAAGGGAAATAAGTTCAAGCTAGTTATATGATCGGAAGTTGAATTTGGAAAATTTGAGTTATTGTCAGATTCTTCCGGAGCGCAGAATGGTCACTGATGGTCGCTCAGACAAAGGCGAACCAATTCACAAAAAAAATCTTCTATCACAATAACCTATTTCGCTTCCTTTTCTCAACCATGAAAATCAAGTCTTGTACTATTTTGGCTGAATTCTCAAGGATAAAGTAATAAAAAACAAAAGATCTGCTCAAAATATCAGAAAAGTAAATATTTTGTATTTATAAGCACAAAAGAATACGAACTTTTGTGTATATTTTGAGTCTTTCATTATTGATATGCATTGGGGAGAATACACTGTTTGACGCACACTCCATTTAAAACTTAAAAATTGTGGGATTTTTTTACCTTATAGGCCCGTTTATGGACTTAAAAACTACTATTTAAATAATAACAAGATGAAATATCAGTTCATGGARCCTTCAGTSTATTTACCCATGGCCCGCCGCCTTACAAGATTTGCATGAAGATTTGAGATGAGGCACTGATCCCCAATTACGGATCTTGGGTAAATTGAGCTCTGACGATACTTCATTTACACGAACTCTGAATTAATAACGTTGAATGCTTTCTTCAAAAATGTGCTTTTTTTATTTGTGTTCTTAGAGAAAGAAGTGTGAACATACATTTAGCGTACACGTGCGGAGGTACAGGATCTGTGATCAGGAATCGCCTTCTAATTACTTGGTCAAAACAAAGAGAGTAGGCAAGCGTATTGAAAAACCTTTGTATTACGTCAACTTGCAAAGACTACAGCAACATACTGTGACCATGAAAGACTTGAMACAAAACAACGACATCGCTGACTTACACATACGGGTTTGTCACTAAAAACTTCTTAAAACCTCAGCCAAAAACACATCAATTTAGAGATAAAAACAGACTTTTAAATCGATACGGGATGACTTCGCTCTATTTAGTGTAAAGGATGTGAGAGATTGAAATATTTTGGGGAAATCATATCGAGGTATTATCGAATCCTACCGGCATGCTAAGTCTGGAAGTTACGATTTCGTTTCTCTKGGGTAATCTCCGGTTCTATTGAAACAAGATGACCATTGAAAACACAAGAGATTTCAATTTACGCTTTAGTGGGGTATGAATTCAAGAACAGCAGCAAAAATGGAAACAAAATTGATTTTTCAAGCGAAAAATTCGATTTTTTTTATGAATTCGCCGCTGCCACCATCGGCCTCAAATTGATGCGCAATTTTGATCTTCGTGCGAATGTATGTCTAGTTGGACGTAATTGATTTGCAAAGTTTCTTTTTATAATGAATTATGGAGCCAGGTGGTGTCGCTTAATTGATATTTGGCCAAGAAAATGCATTAGGAATTATTCACGTCCAAAAGAACCCTAAATATTCAATTGACTTTAAAATTTATAGGGCCTTAATAAAAGTATATAAATCATCCTTTTCCTTCATGTGAATTYGTTGTCACTTTTATCGAGTATCACACTTCGATTCAGAAACTTAATAAATTGTTCAATATTTAGAGAGGGAGTAGATCTATAGGGTCAAACGCCTCCATCAGTAAGTAACACATCCGAAAAGAGCTATTTTTATCAAGCGTTTTTTTACAACTTGAAAATGAACTGAAAATGCATTAACGCGCTTTGTCGCGAAAATTAAGTTTTTTTATCCGCCTTTAGTCTTTAAGCCAGTGAATTATCCCTGTAGAATAGACATGAAATTCGTTTTAATTCAATACCGAAGTTAAATCGATTTTGTAAATATACAAATTTTAAATTATGTTTGGCGAAATACAGCATTTATCAACGTCAATCTCAAAGTAATAATAACTTTTGGGGGCAATTGGTAAGCAATTGYTTTGTGATCTAAGCAAAGACATATTTTCKAGCCTATTYAAAAGAGSTCTTCTCGCGCTGCGTTTGGCGAATTTACCTTTTTCGAGAAGAAAAAGCTCTTACTAGAAGTACCCCTTGAAAAATTTCGCTATTTCATCGAAGCAAAAACAAATATGACAGAAGTTCCCACAAACACTTGGCAAATTAAATGTAAAGAAAGAAAAACGCCAAAAAATCGCTATCTTTTATTGACTTTTTTGGCGTTTAAATGTTGGCGCAGCGCACGTCAAAAATTTACATAACAAGTTTTCGCCCTACTCTCTAATCGCTTGACGGAAATCTAGAGCAAATAAAACACAAACTAGATTTGCGATTGCCAGATAAAACGATGAGGAAGATTAGATTGGTATAAGAACAAGCGGGCTACATATGGGCAGACGTGGTATTTTTGAGACTCAGCCTTTTTGAGATCAATTGATGTGTTTGGCTATAATGCTTTGAGTTCATGCTGAGAATATTGGACATGAGGATGCTAAATAAAGATATAAATACTGGGATCCAACTATTTGTGAATGTATATYTTCAGTATTTATTTGATCTAAAGATGTTTTTTTAGCGCAATAATTTTTAATATCGATTTTTGTTAAGTGAGATTATTGGACATAAGACTACTAAATAAAAAAATATTGGGAACTCTTTGTGAATGTATGTCTTTAGTATATATAGATACTATTTTTGAGTACAATATTTTTTATACTCGTTCATTTTGTGCTGAGAATAATATTAGACGGGAAACAAAGGAATAAAGAAATGAAATAAATAGATATATAAAATATTGGAATCAAAAATATTTGGGAAACCATATCTTTAGTATCTATTTTATACTATCGATGCAATTTTTGAGAACAATAATCTTTAACTTTTATTATTATTATTTTTTKAATTTTACAAATTTTTTTTTATATATTTTTTCCTGGAATTATTGGACTTGAGAATGCAAAATAAAGACAATATCAGATAAAGCCCTTTGAAAAACCATCTCATATTCACCGATGATATTTTAGGGTGAAACAATTTATATTCTTAAAATTCATCTATTATTTATTAGATATTATAGTCGCAGTATTAGAAAAACCACACAGCTGAAACTATTTCGAAATATTGCTTCAATATTTGACTTATCAATGTTAAATTTTCACTATAATATCATCAATTTTTAATATACTTTCACGAGTTTTTATTCTTTTATTAGACGAATACGAATGTAAAGGCAACAATAATATCATTATTTTTTTCGTTTTCATGGAACTGAAAATATATCGTTTGTCAACGCAAAAGTTTGATGAAAATTATGATTTTCTAAGGAAAACACGACAAGACAAATAATTAAAAATAATATGAACAAGTAAAACTAAAAGAACAATAGTAAATACGAAAATATTATTATGAAAATGGTGATCTTGTCAGCAACATTTTAAAATCTACATTTTTATTACTTTTCCACTCAGCCTGACAATCAAAAACAAAACAAAACATCTTGAGTTAAGACACCATCCGAGACCCCGCAAGTCAATATAATCCCCACTCGGTTCAACTGTCTACAAACAATGACAAGGTTTCGAAATGGTCACAGGAAGAGTAAACGAACTTTTTGCGTGCTTTTTTTTCATTTGTACTGTGAAGTCTCGTTAATTTGTCTTATTTTTTGCTGTCATATGTCGATGTTTCAACCACGAGTGTTTATACAAACTCTGAAGCTCGTGGAAGTCAATTCTTTTTTTATTGAGTAGAATGGCAAACTTAATACAAAATACTAATCTCAAGAAATTATACCCAATGTAGAAAAGGAAGATCGTTATGTTGATGTGACGGGGTATACGGGAATTCTCCCAATCATAAACAGCATCTTAATTATTTATCATTTCTCTTTCTTTGTATATTTATTTTGATCCTGCGTTGTTGCTTTATCTGCCATTTTAGCTTTACTTACTATTTATTTTGGCATTAGCTTATTACATGTATTTTTTTTGTTAGATGTGTATAATATATCGTTGTTTTTTTCTGCCATTTGTAAACCACTGACCTGTCCTTGGTGTATTTATTAAGTGTAGTCTTACTTTTGTTATTAAATTTTACTTAACTTGACTTAAAATGCGTATAAAATTTTATAGCTTGAAAGCTTGAATTGATATAACAGACTGCATCTTGAGCTTAAAATACAAACAAACAGAAAACAACTAGCATGATTATGCCCTCCAAAATATAAACAAATATAAACAATAATAAAAAAAGAAACAAAACCGACCAGGACAAACCAGCCACACATTACGCAAAGCGCTATGTACCAGATATGTCCAGCGTCGCCATTTTGTACAGCAAAGCATGATGGGATTTGTAGTCCTCGCCTTTTATAGCCACTAAAAATCTCCCTAAAAGCGGTTTTTAGGATTTCTTGTAGAAACAGCACAACTACATCTATATTTGCAAAGAGAAAGCTGAAAGAGCTTCAAAGCGTGCATAAAAAATTACAAAGGCTACAGCTTCCATCGTGCTTTGCTGTAAAAAATGGTGTCGCTGAACACTACCCGGCTTTTGACCTAATCTATCGAACATCCTGGTTTTCAGGGTATGTTTGTACCATTCCAGCTTTTTGCCCCTCCCTTGTTGGGTTGAGAAGAGGCACCAGGCCAAGACACCGTTCTCGCTTGGTCTGCCAAGAAGAATCCTGTAATTATTTTTTCACAATACGATTGTTCAGTTTAGTTTCTTTAGGGGTGTCAATATTGTTAGAAAGCTTAGGAAATATATGATTCGATTATTTGATCTTGAAGATGCAATGTGTTCTTATGTGTAAAACACGGATTGCAACAATGGCAAGAATGTAACTTTCAATTCTATAAGACAGAAAGCTTATAGGAAACGTAACTATGATTTGAGCTTGAAGATGGAATCTTTTCTTGAGTGTAAAACATGGATTGCAACAAAGACAAGCAAGAATGTTACCCTCAATTTCATTGATTTAGGGCACAAGTTTCTTTCTAAAACACAAATACCCTGAAC